TATGAACTCACAGATAGTGTAGTTATTATTGGGGCTTTTCAAGCCCATGTCCAACTCTCCCATTAGTATGATATTGTCCGCTTTGGGCCTAGAGGCAAAGCCTGCACGGATTTGTTTTTGGATTCCTTCCCAAAAGATCTCATACTAATTGGAGTTGGACATTACTTATATACTAGACAATTATTATCTAAACTTTGGATGTGGGACTTTTGATTGATATCCCAACAATCTCTCCCTCAAACCAAGTACCACATAAACTCGTGGCCTTCTATCTCCAGCGAAACCTGGTACCCATCTTGTACCGCTTGTACTCTTGGCACCCTTATTCGCGAGATCACCTTTTTTGAGGGCTTACCTCCCACAATGAACATGTCCAACCCACTTCTCCAGGTCCACTTTTCTTAACCTTGGCTCTGCTACCATTTATTGGGGCTTTTCAAGCCTATGTCCAACTCCCCCATTAGTATGATATTGTCCGCTATGGGCCCAGAGGCAAAGCCCGCATGGATTTGTTCTTGGGCTCATTCCCAAAAGACCTCATGCTAATTGGAGTTGAACATTACTTATATACTAGACAATTCTTGTCTAAATTTTGGATGTGGGACTTTGATTGATATTCCAAAAGTTATTAACGTAAAAATGTAAAAAAACAATGATTACTCTAAACTCACAATATTATTAAATATAAAAAAAAAGGTATCGATCTATAAATTGAACTTATACGAATTCTTAATATATTAGCGTAGTAATATTATCCAAACAATTAGAGATACCTTATGCTCATCCATGCATAAGAAATGATTCCCGATTGTTAAGTGGGGTTAATATATTTCGAATAAAGTTTCTCAATTCCAAACCGATGTTATTTAATTGATTAAACCTGAGATAAATTTTGTAAAACGAGTCATATATACGTCTCACACAATCTAGTTTTCTGAACTTGTGATTAATATTTTCTGAGCTTGTGAGTTGTGACTAATATTTCTTAAGCTAAGAGATTTTAGCTTTCGTTATAAGGTTGTCTTTTGCTACATGTAAGTCTGTAAGATACTCCAGTAAGCTTCTTCACTTGCTTAATAATGGGGTTTGAGTATTTATGCAATCTTTGTTATGACGTTAGGTAGGACAAAAACATAATGATTAATTAACCGGGGTGATTGGTGATTAGTGAGTCATCGTAATAGCTAAGATCGGATAACATGGACAGCTTTTTATTAATCTGTGACTTTGTCGGTTTATACGGACCACTTTTCCCTTTAAACCCAACGTAATCATCATCATTTGCCAGGGTGCTTACCTTTAATTTTTGTCTTATCACTTAAAATAATAATAATTATCACTAGACGATAAAATTCAACAGATTTGAATCAAGTCATAGCTGATTGTACTAAAACCAGGCGTTGTTTATGTACATATATAGTTACTGAGTTATATTAATTTTCAACTTCTTATAAGAAAAAGAATGTGTGTCTAGCTAGTACTGATTAAGAAATCAGACAAAATTTTATTATATACCACTTATTATTTAGGGTATCTTTTGTTTTTTTAGGTGAACATTTGTTAATAACAAATTGTTATACTACTTTCGTTTTTTTAGAATGATGTTTTAGATTTTATTTTTGTTTTTAAGAAATTAATATTTTACTTCTAATTAATACATTTTTTTACAAGATAAATTTTATTAATACTAATATGATTTAACTATCGTGAAAAATAACAAATTATAATAAAAATAATTAGATTTTCTTAATATTTGTGGAACATCCAAAACATCATTCTCTTATGAGTATATATTAAGAAAACAATTGTGACAAAAAAAAAATATTAAGAAAACAATAGAATCATTTCTTTTTGGTAAACATTCTTTTCACGGTCGTCATAATCAATCATATAGTATGTTTTACATCTTTGACCAGAAAACAAACAAAATATTTTACGTCATAATTTCAGTTTCACATTATTTAGAAAAAATAACATTTTACAATCACATACACTAATCATAAATAAA